ATTGGTCCAATCTTTTCTCGTGTTTTAGTTTGATACATTTGGTAGAATCCTTTGGGGTTTGTCTTCGCCTCCCTTGCTATCCTTATCTCATTATTCCTCTTTGCTTTCCTTATCTCGGTTTTAACCCTACTCGCCAATACCCTATAATAGTCCCGGAGGTGAATTTCGCCACGATTTATCCTTCTACCTATAGCCTTCCTTTGGCCGATGATGTTCTTTAAATAATTATTTATCCATTTAGGGTCATTGTTGTCTGATCTGAGTTTTTTGTATGGTATGTTCTGCCTTTGTGCATTAAGTAACTCACTATTTAAATTGTCGTGGAACTCGGCAATCTCAGATCTCGTTATCAGGTCTGTGCCATCTGTCAGGTTCACAGCCAAGCACGACAACCCCTCTCTCAGCTGCCTCTTTAAACTGTCAAAGTTTGGCCTTCTGAAATCTGGTACTTTAGTGGAATTTTCCTTATGTCAGCCCTGAAAATCTAACTGGAATCGAATTTCTTTGTGATCGCTGTTTGCAAGTTCGTTCCCTACCTCGACATTGCTAATTAGGTTTTCTCTGTTCGACAGAACTAAGTCCAGTATATTATTACCCCGTGTGGGTTCGGTTATATGTTGACTTAGGAAACAGTCCTGGATCGTCTCGAGAAAATCCTCTGATTCTGAGTTACCCGTAAGGTCAGTCCAATCTATTTGGCCAAGGTTAAAGTCGCCTACTATACAGACTTTGTTGTGTATGGAAGCCCTGCGCATTTCATCCCAGATAAGTCGCTCATTGACGCTATCAAGATTGGGGGGTCTATATATTACTCCTGTGATTAATTTTTCCCGACCGTCGCTTAATTCTATCCAAATTGCTTCTGTATTCCTCTCAGTTTTTATTTCCTTATTTATTTCACACTTCAGATTATCCCTAACATAGATTGCTACTCCGCCTCCTTTCCTGGTCTGCCTATCGGCATGGAACAGTTTGTAACCCGCAATTTGGTATTCGACTGGTAACTCACGTGTGTCTAGGTTGATCCATGTTTCAGTGAATGCAATTATATCGATTTTTTCGGTACATACCAAGGCCCTAATATCATCCATTTTGTTTCTCATACTTCTACTGTTCGTGTAGTATACATTTAAGTTAGTCGTGTTCTGAGTCCTCCCCTTACCGCGTTTAGTTTTAAACTCCCTGTCTAATTTAGTTTTGTCATCATTCCTAACACTATTTCCCTGTAGTCTTTCACTTTGTTTACCCGCTCCCACTGCAGTCTCCTCCACCCCCGTGCCCATATGTTCCCTTAGCAGTTTAAAGACTTCGATATCTTTTGAACTGCCCCTACTGTTTGTATAGTATACATTTAAACCTACTCTTCCCTGGTCCTGTTTTACCCCTTGTCCTGAGCAACTAATTTTACTTCCCAGGACCTGCTTGTTTTTTGACTCCCACTTTCCCCGACCCCTCTCTACTGGCGAAACCCCCCCTTCGGAGTGACAATTTCACGCTCCAGGGATGCAGACAACGTCTTTACCCCCTCACGAGACAAGTGTACTCCGTCGCGACAGTACAGGTAGTCGTTGCCATAGAATCGTTGCCAGTTATCAATGAATGTCCAACCATTGTTTTTCCAGTCGGCAATTTATAGCAATTGCCCTGGACAGCCATTCACGACCAACCCCTCTTCTAGTCAAGACACCACATACTATCGGGATCCCTCCCCTATCTCTAATCTTCCCCAGCGCCTCCCTATACCTCTTGAAAAGTTCCTCACTCCTAACCTTACCTATGTCGTTTCCTCCCACACTAAGACACACTACTGGATTGGTACCCTCCCCTGACAAAACCCTGTCTAACCTCTCGGCTACATGCCCTATCCCAGCCCCAGGAAAACACACCCTAGTCCTACGTTTCCTATCTCTCGCACAAAAAGCCCTATCCATAAACCTCACCTGGCTGTCACCAACTACCACGACCTTACCTGTGGGCAGGGTTTGTACAACTGCCCTTTCCTCTCCTTGATCCATACCGTCCTGCCTCTTCTCTTCCTCGCCAGCTTCCTGTAGCACCTGGTAAGGGTTACTACACTCCACACCCTGGTCAGCTTTCCTGAGCCTGACCCTAGTCCCCTTGGAGACAACCACTCTCCACGCCTGCTCCTCCTTCGCAGGTGTCCTGCTAGGCAGGACACCTACCTGAAGGAGTTCCGTCCTGAGGGCTTCATTTTCCCCCTTTAGAGTGTCAACCTCACTCCTCAACTGCCCCAGCTGCCTTAACAGAGTGGCAAGGAGGTCGTCTTTCCCCACACTCCCCTCCTCTTCCCCCACGACACAACGATCCAAAGCGGCCATTTTCCTTGGTCTCTAACGGGAGCACGATCGGGCACGACCTTCTCCAAGCTGGGTCAGAGGTCAACTCGTAACACCACCTCTGAGCAAGCTCCTCGCTGTCCAGCTCTCAGTCAACCTGGAGGCCAGCAACACGCAACACCTCCTCTAACGAAGCTCCAGCACGCTACTCACCCAACGTGTCTTCTGAGCAAGCTTCTCACCACACGGCATCTCCAGCACCAGACTGTTTTGTATATAATATATTTTATATAAGAAAACCACCACCTAGAGTTTCCATCCATCCCATCCTGAGTGCGAGACAACACATATAACGTAACACTACAACACCACCGCACACTTCAGTATATTCCCCAAATAACAACAGTATATTCCCCCAATACCAGTACCACACACTTCAGTATATTCCCCAAATATCACCACCACACACTTCAGTATATCCCCCCAATTACACCACCACACACTTCAGTATATCCCCCAATTACACCACCACACACTTCAGTATATTTCCCCAATATCACCATCGAGGATGGCCGGCCCAAGGGCCACCTAAGCGTGAACTTGTTTAAGGTGCAGAAGCTGTCGCCAACACAACAACCACACCCTAAGTTTATGAAACGTCAACTGCAATGGCTAACCATTACTCTGGTATACGATCCGCTAAACGATTAACATCCAGGTTCCCAATTACTGCTGGGTAGACGCAAATAGCGTGAAGAAACTTAACCATACTTACACCTTGCCCTGGGATCGAACCCGGGTCAGCTCGCTTGTGGGGTGAGCACGCATACTATTACACCACAGGTCGCCATACACTTAGAAAATTCCCCCTCGTAACACCATCACACACTTCAGTACATTGCCTTGAAACATTTCTTAAAGTACACTAATTTATGATTATAAGAGAATTTTTGATGCATATATGTAGATAGATTATAAATCACTGGTATTTATTCACAATGTCTCACAATGTTATGAATATCTGGTATTTAGATATGGTATTTCATATTCAATACCGGTATAGTTACCGGTACTTTATGAACAATAATTAAACAGACGTAAAAGTTTGTTTTCATTACAAAAAATGGCATACTGTATGACCAAACACCCTCACGTCACAAATCATTTGAAAAAAATCAGGGCTAGTAAATTTCCAAAAAATTTACTGGGGCTAGTATAAAATATGTCAGGGCAAATAAATTCCATAAGTCACTTGCCCTGGGCAAGTAAATCCCCTCAAGTCTTTCCCACCGTAATTTTTGTCTTGTTCCCCATCTCCGTGAAAGAGCCCTAACATATTGTTCTCTTGTCGCAATGTACAGAGGGCTATTCAAAATATATTTTTAATACCTGCTTATTCGTTAGTTCGTCCTAGATCCTCATGTCATCCTACAACTCCAAATTAACTTTGCTGTCTCACTCGCATCCTCTTTTTTAACATCTCCCCACTTAGTAATAAGTATTACCCTTTACACATAACAGTAGGGTCAGCAGCACCATCATTCGTTACATTGCTTGTAAAGGGCAGTTTTTAGACGTAATCCTATACATTTTGACCCAAGAAACGCGAATCCAAACTGACCCAAAAATCTGACCCTGAATAATATCAACACGACATTTAGAAGTCATTCAAGGCCATCTTGTTATAACCTACAGTCTGTCAACTTAAATTGAGTCAAACTCCATTTTTCCACAATTTATCGATATACCAAATATTCTCTGAACTTGGCTTTTAAAACAATATACGTCACGTTCGCTTTTCATTCAACCACCCGTTCATATACAATAATTTGGGGCATGATTGCCTCTTCTTTAAGCTAATATAGGAATGTCTTAATTCCAACAACATCTCTAGTCTATAACTTTAAGCTGGCTAGTGGAGTAAATTATCCAACGTTATAGGTTGGGTAAGGCTATGGCAAAGCTCCAAGTTTTACTCTCTCCAACATATCTCACACTACCAATACTCCTCCTTCATCAACTTACCTTATCTACCCTCAACCACCACAAATCTTAGTATACACCTTGCCTCAATAAATATTTGAAATAACATTCAAATAATGTGTCATCATTTTGTCAATTTTTATTTAAGAAATCAATAAGTAAATCCGACTGACAAGTTTTTACAGATTTCACAGAACTGTATTTATAACTCGGGGTCGGCCCCAGCTATGTGCGGTCTGTGAGGCTGCACAGGGTTCCCTCCTGAATACAGTACAATATATTTGTTGTTTAGTAGGATTCGCATTTCAATTCTGATGTATCGTGTGCATCTCAATACTGCAGGCGAGTGCGTTTCAGCCATCCGGCGCCAGTAAGACGGGGCCCCTTTGGCAGTGTTTGCCTAAGGAATCGGGGCCCCCAAACACTATCTTGCATAGGACCCCTCAGAAGCTAGAGCCAGCCGTTAGACCTGGCTTCCTGTTGCAAATGACCCACTTACAAATGGTCATTAACGATGATCAATGTACCGGTAAATATTAAAAAAAAATTAAAAATAATACTTCAACTTAAAATAATACTACAACTTAACAATATCGAATATTCATATGACAAACCCTCTTCTAACAAAGGATATAAGTTTCACAGGATGACAAGCGAGTTATGACACCGTCCTCAAAATGAAGTAACGTATCTTTAAAACAACAAAGATTAAACACTAACCTCTCAGTAAGCGCCATTACACCTTCAAGAAACAGAAGATCAGGTAAATCTCTGTAAGGCATTTTTAATCCTGAGTGAAATAAAACTTTACACAGAGAACACACGACCAGTTAACGCCACACCCACTGCCAACACCCACACTAACTGCAGTTGTAGTAGCGCAGAGTCGGTTTTTCCTCAATCCCCGCTCGCTGCCAGACGTATAATTTAATTTTCTTCCATCCCCCCCCACCCTCCAACCATAACTTGTTTTTTTCCCAGAATGATGAAATATATCTGGATAAATTAGGTATTGAAAAGGCATTATTTCATGCATTTTGTATACTGTATTCTAATGTTTTCGGCTTATAATAGCTTCTTTACTAAGTGAATCATTAAATTAAAGGAAAATATATAGTTTAATGACAGAATATTAAGTTTTGATAAAAACATTTTTTTCAAGGGTAAAACCTACCACGTGAGTTAAGAAATAATCGTGCTGGGAAGAAAATATATCATTGACAAAGGGTGTTGGACCTCCTTAGGTGCTGTTTGACAGTCAATGGCAACTTGCGGGAAATATACTTACCAGGTTCAGCAGAAATCTAAAAATATGTGTGGAAAGAGTGACGCAATGACCCAGTCAATGATGCACTGCAAAAACACCTTAGACACAGCAAAAATCTAAATCTTAGAGGGGACCCAACTCCTTGACGAAATGTGATTGGATAGTTGTGATTAAATTATTATGACTATTTTAAGTGTCAATCACCCACGTGTGTATGTACAGTATGTATGTATGAATCTGCATATATATATATATATATATATATATATATATATATATATATATATATATATATATATATATATATATATATATATATATATATATATATATATATATATATATATATATATATATATATATATATATATATATATATATATATATATATATATATATATATATATATATATATATATATATATATATATATATATATATATATTATGTAAATCCACAATGAAAACGTGGATAAGATAAATCTTGATAAAATCACACGGGAAAATGGAAACAACGGAGTACCTTAGCTTTCGTCTTTATTCAAGACATCTTCAGAGGCAACTGGATTACATGGACAGAGAGAGGCTTAAATATACAGGGTGACCTTAAAAACATGAGGTCAGGTCATAATGATGACATCCACTAATCCCCACACCAACACACACGTAGAGGAGCTTAAGAGAAGGGTGGTGACGTGACTAGCCAGGTCAGGTCAGAAAAAAGGGACCCACAAAATAACTATCATACATCTAGATCAAAGGTTTTCAAAGCATTTTTAACCTTGGGCCACTGACAAATAAATTTATGTAACATATTATCAGTTTTGAACTGACCATCACTAAGGTTTATTGATTTTAATTCCTTAATCAAACTAGCTTCAACCAGAAGTCTTTCTGTGACACAAGATGATTTGAATACTTCTAAGCTTTTTTCCCAAGCAATGGGGTGATTATTATTCCTAACATGAACGAACAAGGCACTGCTTTCAGATGCAGTTCTGATATTATACTTATGTTGTTTGATTCTGAGCTGCAGTGTTTTTCCTGTCTGACCTACATAATTACAATTACATTTGCTACATGGAAAACAATAAACACTTCCATTTACATTCAAACTTGGGCTATTCCTTATTAACATATTGGTAATGGTTGAGTCATACTTGAAAACAACATTAATATTTAGAAGCTTGAGGGACCGAACTAACGGGACAAATTCATTACGATAGGGCAGAGTCAAAATATTCTTAAGTGTAGGAACTTGTCTGGTTTGAGAGGAATGAAAGGATTTTTTAGCCCTTTTAAAACAACGATCAACAAACACAGAAGGGTACCCGAGTTTCTGTGCAATAGAACGAATGTGTTTCAATTCATCGTCAATAAATTCAGAGTCACAAATACGCAGACATCTTAAGAACATAGCAGAAAAAACTGACATTTTGGTAGACTCAAGGTGATTCGATAAAAAGTGAATGAAACTGTCTACCTGTGTGGGCTTTCTATATACCTTAAATTTATAGTTTTGGCGGAGTAGGTGGTGTAGCTTGCTGCGGCTGCAGCTAGAAGAAGAGAGAGGGCACCACGAGGTCAGGTCTTAAATAGCGGAGGTAGGCGTGGCTTAGTAGTTGACCTCCGCGATGTATGGCGGCGCTGGTTGACCCAGACCACGAGGTATACACTGGGGAATTCGCGGGGTCGGCTACTCAGCGACAAACAGCGTTTGTAGGGGAGAAATCCACTACAATACTCCCCCTTTCCCCCCAGGCGGTGTAGGAGACTTGTTGTCTGCAGGGTTGCATGGCACATGTGAGGCAGAACGGGCGGTGCATGCCACATGTGAGCCATAACGGCGATGGCGTGGATGAGCCGGCCGCTAGAGGAGACAACTGTCTAGACACACAATATCTGTGGGAGTAGAGAGGGAGAAAAAGGGTGTGTGGAGGCGATGAATGCTGTGCTTCCCTCACGGCAGGTACAGAGTCGTCAGATGCGCCTGCTGGGGTGTATGGGTCTGGGTCAGGAGCAGGGGCTGCGTCAGCAGAAGCGGATGAGGGCTCGTGACAGCAGCTGGGTCCACGACAGCAGCAGGGTGCAGGACAGTAGCAGGGAGTACCTGAGGGAGAAAAGAGGGGTGTGTTGGTCCGCACTCAGGCGCATGGGCCGCGTCTGGAGCAGGGGCTGCATCAGGAGGAGCGGCAGGGGGTACTGCTGGGCCGGGGGCGGCGTCTGAGGCAGGACGGGTGTGCTGGGGTCGGTAGGACGTGGTGCTTGGGGCAGGAAGAGGAGCTGGTGTCTGCTTAGAGAAGCAGTGCTGCTCTAGGGTGTCTAACCTGCGGTTTAGAGACAGTAGCTGTAGAGCCGATGAGAGCTGCTTCTGGGTGGATAAGCCAGTCTTCCATGTTGCTTGAAGACTGGGAGCGTGATCTGTTTCTCCTCCATCCTGTGTGAGTGCGAATCTCCGGGGTCACCATTTGTGGGGTATGGGTTGTTTGGGTTCACACTCAGGATGGGATGGAGAAAAGAAACTCACAATGTGCTCACTGTATACATATTGTATTGGATGTACAATGCAGCTTGGTGCTGGGAAGTGGCAGCGTGGTTACAAGCGTGATGTAGAGAGAGCTGGTTGGTGAGGGTGCTCAGAGGAGGACAGCTTGTGGGTCGCCATGCTCGCCGGCGGGAGCGAGGGCCGCCAGGCAGCGGCGGAGGAGGTGGTGTAGCTTACTGCGGCTGCAGCTAGAAGAAGAGAGAGGTTGGTTGGTTGGTTATACAGAGAGAAGAGAGCACTAGCTCTGAGAGTGCAAGAAGGGTACAGTACAAGGTAAAGTTCAAAAGTGGGAAATAGAGGAGGAGGTTAACAGCAGGTGGGCTCTCCACCTTGCGGAGACGGGTCTTTTTGTCTTCCGTCAACAGTGCTGCCTTAGTGGTTCATGAGGTTAGGGAAGGCCGGTCTCAGCCAAGCTAAGTTGTTCTAAGTTGTCCTTGAGGCATATTATGTTATGGGGGGGGGGGGTCCCTCCAGGTCCTTGTGGCACTGGAGGGATGATCCCCATCTTTTTTTTTATGGGTGTTTGTGAACTATTTGGGTCTTTGTTTATTTGTGGGGTCCCTCCAGGTCCTTGTGTGACTGGAGAGTTGTGTCCATCTTTTGGTTCTTTTTTATTGTGTATATAGAGGCTCTGGTTCTTCGTTATCATTTGTCCTGCTTCTAGGCCACCATCTGTGCGATGTGTTGTTATTTTCCTCAATTAGTTGGTTTAGTATGGGATCCTGTTCTTGCTGGATTTTTTCCCATATTGCATTTGCTTGGGTGTGTATTCTGGTGTTGAGTGGGTCTATGCCGTGTTCTGTGTGTATGTCTTGTACTGTTTGTGTGTATGGTGGTTGGTGTTTTGCCGCTCTTCTGAGGGCTATATTTTGCACTGCTTGAAATTTTAGTTGACTTGTTCTTGCGATTGTGTTCAGAGGTATCGGAGGGTATTCTAAGTGTGGTCTGATCAGTGCTTTGTATAGGTGCAATTGCGTGTTGGTGTTTAATTGGCGGAATCTTCTGAGCTTTGTAAGTTGTGATTTTGCTATAGCTATTCTTTCGTTGATGTGGGGGATTATTCCACTTCTGGATATCTTGAGTCCTAATATTTTTCCGTTGGCAGCATATGGTATTTGTTGGTTGTTGACAATAATAGGGTATGGGTTTGTTATTGCGATGTGAATTATTTTGAGTTTTTGGACATTGGTTTTTATCTTCCATTTTCGTTCATAGTTATTTATTATCTATTTCTCTGCTTGTTCTAATGGCCATCATTTGTTTGGATTTTCCTGGGTACCTGACTCTGTGTTACATCATCTGCGTATGCTATATATTCTGATTGCCGTGGTTGCGGCATATCTGCCGTGTATACAGTGTATAATGTCGGCGATATATTACTGCCTTGGGGAACTCCACTATGAAGGTTGAAAGTTTGTCCTAGATGGTTGTCGATGATTAATTTGGCCTTTCTGTTTTCTAAGAAATTGCATAGTAGTGTTGTAATATTGGTAGGCATGTCCAATTTGATTATTTTTAACTTCAGTCCTTCATGCCAGACTTTATCAAATGCTTTTGACACGACCTAATTTCAGTGAGGCTGAAGTATACGCTCTTGTGACTGAGGTAGCCAAACGAAAAGAAATGATTTTAGGGAAGTTGGACTCAAGTAGTTGTACACTTCAACTCAAAAACCATGCCTGGGGTGAAGTGTTAAATGCGGTGAATGCTGTTGGTAGAGTCACCCGCAATGTTAGTGAAATTCGGCGGAAGTTTTCTGATCTTCGTGTTAGCGTTAAGAAAAAAGCAGCACAAGATAAGAAATATGCTGGTGGAACAGGTAAGTCATAATATTGTTAGCGTGGTTATTGATTGACAATATGAAACAAACTTAACTATGGTTTTTCTGAGGCTTGGTTCGATTTTACGTGTTTGTAAACTCAAGGAAGTAAGTAGTGTGGTGGCTCTCCATCGTGAATGAATACACATATTTTCCTTATATGAGCACATTAATTAAAAGAAACATCGTTCTTCGAAGTTTTCCGTGTGAGTAAATAGTAAAAACTTTACCGTTC